ATACTACCACTACTAAAATAACGATAATAATGATAATAATTACGATAATAATAATAATAATAATAATAATAATAATAATAATAAATAATAATAATGATAACAATAATAATAGTAACAATTACTTCTGTTACTTCTTTATTGTTATCATTATTATCATTCATGTTATTATCATTATTATTATTATTATCATATTATTAACATTATTATCATCATCATCATTATCATCATCACTATCATTATCATCATTATTATTATCTTATTATTATTAATCTTCCTTTATTAGTGTTAGGTTTATCATCATCATCATAATTATTATTGTCATTAACATCATAATTGTTATTGTTATTATCACCATCATAATTGTCATTGTTATTATCATCATCATAATTGTTATTGTTATTATCACCATCATAATTGTTATTGTTATTATCATCATTACTTTTTATTTTTTACCGACGATTAATATCGTTTATCTGCGACTGGGCGGAAAAAAGCATGCAGTATATCCAGCATGTTCTACGTCCCCTTCGGCAGGAACAGACTCACGAGGACTCACCAACAACCGTCATATTCTGGGCGTGGTCGTCGGTCTCGAAGTAGGGCTTGTCGCCGAGGACTTCGCAGCGGTAGGTGCCGGAAGAGCCCCTGGTCACGCCCGTCAGCACGACGCTCGTCAGGTTGCTGTGGGTTTCCTGAGGGGGCGGTGAAAGATGTCTTTGAACTCTTGGTGTAAGAACGTCCTACAGGTGTTTATACTTAACAAGATCACTGTGGAATTAATTATTCAAGATATTTTTACACTATGGATTTGAAAAGGATATCATTAAGGCGCAGGAGATTTAAACGTCTCAACAATCATAAATCTTAACGATATAAAGCACTTTCATTAAGGTTATAACAACACAGTAACGAACATGGCAACCGAAACTACTTTATGACGTCATAAGTATAAACTATACAGCCCCCCCGAATTCGATAAGTGTTTTCTTCCTCATTTAGGAGAACCACATAAGCACGGCGCTTCCACGAAATGGCGGTCTTTCAATAATCCACTTGTCAATAATGTAAACAAAATGAGAGTTACTCACATCCACCTCTATGTCCTCCACAGGGAACACCTTCATGGCTGGACTTCTACCGGGAAGGTATTCGTAGAATTGGTCTACGCCTCGATACCACTTGACGGAGTAGAGAGCCTGGGGAAGCTCTTCGCTGTGTTCATAGCTGCACGTCAGCACCACCCGGGACCCTGACGCCACGACCGGGGGGACCTCCACGCTGGACAGCCGCAAGCCCCATCCTTATGTGAAAGAGCGAAGAGAAGCACACATAAACAACATGATTAATCTGGTATTTCCTAAGATTCTTTTTCTTTCTTTCATCTATATAGCATAATTATACTCGTTTCTTTTGTAACTACATGAATTAACGTCGTTAAAGTCTGAAAAAGCGCGACAGGAGCCTCACCTCGGGCAGCAGCCAGACCCAGGATGAGGACCAGAGCGAGAGTCGCGGCCGGCATGCTCGCCTCCCCCGCCATGGGCCGCCTCGCACGCCAGGCCACGGGGGAGAGGTCACGCCTGGTCAAGGGCTGGTAAGGAAGGACAAAAGTGCTGATTTCCCTGGAGCTTGAAGGAATGGGGTTATAGAATACGTCAATTTGTGTTGTATGTTCATTAGTATATGCTTGTGAACGAGTTTATGTATCCCTTTGTATATGTGTCTTATATGCCGGCATGGAGAACGCGGAGAGCATTCAGGGGAATATGTTCTAAAAACTGACCCTTTTCCCAGTGTTATGAATTCTTGCTTTGCTACTCATCGGCTTTTTTCCGCCTCAGGATTAAATATATTTCACAGTATTGAATCGTCATCACTGCCCTGAACACGTTCCTGACTGCACAATGTATGTAGAATAATAAGCCATTTGTTGTGAAGAAACTTTATTCGTAATTGCATTGATAACACACTAGGTTTTCGGAGCCGCTAATTAGCGACTGAATGTCAGCGGTTACATGTGATCGATACTTTGCTGTGCTTGTTCTTTCGAGTAAATATATAATGGATTTAACACGTCTAGTGATGATTTAAAACTATTGAAAGTGTGAACAGTCATTACGTTAATACATATACCATTGCCGTAATACTAATAAAGTAAAAAATATATAGATTTTCATCCAGAAAGATAAGCACTTGCAGATGAATACCAAGATCCCTGGGACAAAGAGCCTCTCCGAACCCACCCAGAGCGTCCTTAGGATCAAGCGTCTGCAGCCTACTTGCCGTGTGATTATGATTCGCCGTGATGAGCGCTTCGCAAACTCGATCGTCTCAAGATGTCCACTGGTTAGAGAGGGATAAAGAGGAGGAAGCAGAAAGGAGAGTCGTTGCCCTGATGCATTACGTCCGGGAAGGAGAAAAGGAGGAATCGATGCTCTGTAGCCAGGGAGACTTGATCGTCCAGACATTTGGAGTCATTTCTAAAGAACATTTAATGATAAAATAAGATAACAGAAAGTAAGTAACAATTCATCCGAAATACATAAAGGGGAAAAAAAATCTGAAAATCTGAAAACCAAACAACAAGAAATATAAACGAGGAGGAGGGAAAAAAAATCCCAAGAAAACGAACACCGAAAAATGAAAAAGGAAGACAATGAGGAGAATCGAAAAGACCAGGACCCGCCTCCCAGCAGGGCTTCCTTCGAGGCGATATAAAGCGCACATTCCCCTGAGTGCCAGATTAAACCCGACCAGCTCCGAGATTCCCCCGTTCATGGCCGCTCACGTCGGCGAGGAAGAACATTATGAGTGTGATAACTTGGGATTTCGCGTCCCCCTTGTTTTCCGTCGCCGCTTCTCACCTGCATCACTGTCTTTATCACTGGAATTCCTACTGTGTTTGTTGCCCTGGTTGGTGGTGTTGTGGCGGCCGGGTTTACCGCTGTTGCCAGTTCCATGTATTGTGTAATAGTCTTCCTAGCCATCAGTGCCTAGTGATAGATCGCTATAGTCATTATCAATGTCGTTAAAGTTATGATCACGTAGAATGATAGCTTCATTATCATTATTATTATTGTTATTATTATCATCATTATTTTTATTATTGTTATTATTATCATCATTATTTTTATTATTGTTATTATTATCATCATTATTTTTATTATTATTATCATTATCATTGATGTTTTCATTATTCGTATTATTATTAGTAGTAGCAGTATTCCTTATTAGTTATTATTAATATTAACGTTACTATCATTATCACCGTTCTAATCATTATTCTTATTATTTCTATTCTTATTCCTTATTCTTATGATCAAGTGCGCTCATAGTTTCATCATT